AGAAACTGAACCAACCTTTTCTTTAGGACAACTGTTAAAAATGTGAAGTAGAAAGACTACATTATTTACGGTAACTTAAATATTTAAATCAAGGCAATTTCTTTTAATTCTCAATGAAAAAACAAAACTATTATTGATATATTGCAATGAAGAAGTTCAGAACTCTTCAGATTTTTACATTCCACCCTTTATATGAAATGTGCTGCTGTTGAATTCTGTGTCAATTACACAAAAACCCTAAGGACCAAATTGAATGTAAAATAACAAAAAAACTTATATCAACAAAAACACTTTTATCAAGTACGGATAAATACCCGAATAAGTTTGGAGTCAGAAAGCATAGAGAATACATCATAACCATATGTCTAACTCACAAATCCAAGCAGTCCATATTCTCTTTCCATAGAACACTTGGATTGTATTTGTATTTAAAAGCAATGATAAATGTCAAATAACTCCTCAACCATCCTTCTGAATACAAGGAAACACCATGCTGGGAAATCCTTTCAATGCAAAGTGCTTTGAGGAGACAACCAAGGCAGAGAACAGCAAGCCTTAGTCACACAGCTCAACCCCAAGACTACAGAATGCTAACCCATTAGAGCTGGGGCTGCACAGCCCAGTGGTAGAACTTTACCATGGGACTTTACCGTAGGGCATGTGAAGCCCCGTATTTGATTCCACCCCAACAAAACCCCAACCAAACAACAGACAACAAAAGGCAAACCACATAGCATGATAATAAGACAACAGTCTCTAATAACTATACAGTTTTAAATGTCAAGCTTTTTAAAAAAAATTATGTTCACAGACAAGAACTTTAAATGTAGAAATCCTGAGACTGCTAGGGTTTGTTAAACCAGCACTTTACAGACCCAGTCCTATAATAGTAATAGGGTTTTCCAGATATGCTTAAATAAAGTAATATCTAAAGGTTCTAGAGCAGTGGTTCTCAACCTTCCTAACGCTGCAATCCTTTAATAACACCAACCATAAAATTATTTCATTGTTACTTCAAAGCTGTAATTTTACTACTGTTATGAATTGTAAATATCTGATATTTACAATTGTTGAGAACCACTTTTCTAGAACAAAAGAAAATAATGTGTTCTTACTGAAAACACAAATCTAAGACTTTTTCATAAACAGTGGATTAATTCCATCTAGGAAATAAAAAACTGACTGGTGATCCATTAACATTTTGTTTGTCCTCACCCAGTTTTCACAGTAACAATTATAGAGAGCACATCCATCTAAACGCAAAAAAAAAAAAAAAAAAAAAAAAAAAAAGCAACAAATGATCTAAATTTCCCCAAACAAAAGAAAAAGATCCTGAAAGGCTTGAATGCGAATGCGGTTAAACACCTATCAATTACCTGTGCAATAAAGTTGCTCTCCTCTCCTCACCAGCTCATTTCTAACATTAAGTCTTACGTCACCTAAAGAGAGGGATGACCCATACAGCAGCAGGGGCTGTCTCAGTACTGCACTTTCTGAGACACAGTACCAAGCACTTAGCACTGCTTCCCAATTTATGAAAGGATAGCAATAATGAACAAACGTAAAACAGAAGCTAATTGATAGGCTAAATGCATTAGTGCATTCCAGTGCTCACTCTATCAAAGGTTACTAACCCATCTCGGCTAAGTGCTGAAATCATAATTAAGTCTGATGGCAAGTCCTAGATTTATACCAATATAATTACAAATATTACTTAGCTTAGTAATACAGTATGGCAAGAACAATGAGATGAGTAATTTAGATGATACTGCAAAGTGGGTTTTAATGTCTGAAACTTCTATTACAGTACACAGGATAAGTGCAAGTGGTGTAATTAAAACTAAAAGAGTCTGATCCCATCATAACTCTACTGCTCTGCTCATTAAAATGCATGTTTTCTCAATTAATCCAAACTTTTCCATTAAAAACATAAAAATACACTTTCATTCCTTGGAAATAAATCTCCATGGTACTTATTATATTTAGAATCAAACACTAAATAACCATTACAGATAAGTACAAAAGAGAGAGACGGGGAGAAGAAGTTGCATCCACAAAGCCTGATAGGAAGAAAGGGCGAAGCCAGGGCTGCCCACTGTCCCATTCTGGGCTAAGTGAGTGTTTGCAGAGCCCTGAGCGAACCTAGGCAAAATGTTCGCTTAGGAGACAATGCAGTGCCACTCATAGATTTCATATTACCTACCAGCCACAGCATTCTCTGATTATTGATTCTTTTATTTTATGTGACACTAGCTCATGTGTACAGAAAACTGTGGCATGAAATCACATTGCAACAGAATGACTTCTCTTTTAATTCAATATATTGCTAAGAAACTTCTCTAAATAGTAAGCAGAGACAAGCACAAGATGTTTACATATTACATTGTATTACTTGCCATAAAAAAGCTATTAAAGAGTATGTTGTTATTCAACTGTCTGATATCACTCAATTTTCTTTAAAATTTTGGCTTACTTTATAAAGTAAATATTACCAGGAATAATAAATACATTTTTAAAAATTTTGGATTTTTTATAATTCTTTAAAAGTCCATTGGGCTATTAAAGAAAACCTGAAATCTGTAATTTTTCAGGAGAATTTTGATTCAATAAAGATATAAAAGGAAAATAAACAAACCTTCAAAACAGCAATAAGAAACTGGGAAGGGTTTCTTGATGTTTTCTAGAAAGTGTTTGGGCAGACTCCAAAAGTACATGAACCACGAGCAAAAATAGAGCAGGATGACATCAAACTGAGGCTTCCACACAGCACTCTCAGAGAGCAAACAGTCTTAGAACTGCAGACAGCACTTAGGAACTGTATGGCAGAACTGAAACACACCGAACAGAAAAACCAAACAGTTTCATAAGTGTCAGTATTGCGAGCTGCACCGTGGCAGTGGGCGGCAGGAAGAGAGCTCCTTCAGTGGGAAACAAAAGTAACTTCCTGTGTTACCCACTTAGCAAGAAGGGCGGCAGAGAAAAAAGAGCATGGAAAGATAATCGCCTACAGAATCACAGAAAGCATAGGACCTGTATGCATGGATAGTGGAAGTGTGAGTCGACCAATTAGGGCAAGCAGCATGCACGTTCCTGACAAACTTGAAAACTTGACTACCACAGGCGCCAGCGAATGGACTACTGGACATCCATCCAATGGAACCCGGAAGTAAAAGAGCATGCATAGTGTATGTACATTCAAAAGGAAACAATCTCTTCTCCATCAATTCATGAATGGATAAAAATCTTTAAGCTTTAAAAAAAAACAGTATGTTTTTCCAATGATGTACTAATCACTCCCTTTTCTGCCCTCTCCCCAAACTCCCTGCCAAAACGGCTGAGGACATAGGTCAGTGTTAGCCTGCTTAACTAGCATAATGAGGTAGGTTAGTGACCTTTCACAGAGAAGGAACTGGACATCATGTTTAGTCAAATAAACCAAGCAACAAAGACAAGTAATGCCTGTTATCATCATTACAGGGATAAGCAAGAAGTGGCCTTCTGGGAATTGAGGGAACCATGGTAGCTGGCCATAAATTCCACAGGGTTCAGACACTCAAGATGCTGATTACAGGCAGCGATATTGTACTGTGCATTTTTAAATGTCTAGAAGAATGGAGTTTGAATGTTGGAGGTCTGCCTTTTGTTAAAATAACAAATGGATAAAGAGTTCAGGAGACAGATTTGCTTAGCCTTATTTAAACATTACATCATTTATATATGGACTGAAATTTTACATGAGACCCAATAAATATATTCAATTGTAACTTTTATTTAACAGATTAAAATTTCTAAATAACAAACAAATGATAGAAAAATTACTACAAAAATTTTACTGAGAGTCACATGAAGACTAACATAGAACTTAAAAGAATAATTTAGGGCAATCTAAAATTGTTTACGATAACTTGCTATAATTGGAAAAATGGAATGCATACTACTATTTTTAATGTATAAAAAGAAACTTTAAAAATAGGAGGATGGGAAGTGTTAAGTTTAAAGCATTACTGGATTAAACAATACATAATTTCTCCCACTTGTAATATTTCTATTTACATGGTCATTAACTTTAGATGGAATAGTGTGTTCTATTTTGAAAGCAAAGTCTCTGTAATGACCTATCTTGGTACACAAATAATCCCTGTCTGGAATTTAAGGAAAAGAAAAAAAGGTAGTTGTGAAAAGCTGGTGGGCCAGGTTCAGGTCTCCTGCCTGTACTCACACAGCTGCCTCCTTGGCCGTAGTGAAACCATCACACACTTGTCTGCATTATCAAAGTCTACTGGAAAAAGATGTACTTAATGTGATATTTCAGAGAAAAATGGGCTTAAGATTATTCAAAAGAATTCCTATTTTACACATTGCATATTATGTATTAAATTGCTAATCACATGCATCTATTTAAAAACCACTTACATTTATAAGAAATGTAAGTTTTAAGCCAGGCGGTAGTAGCATATGCCTTTAATCCCAGCACTTGGGAGGCCGAGGCAGAGGGGTTTCAGTGAGTTCAAGGCTAAACCCGTCTCCAGAGTGAGCTCCAGGACAGCCAGATCTACACAGAGAAACCCTGCCGTGAAAATTTAAAAAGAAAAAAAAAAAATAGAAAAAGAAAAAAGAAATGTAAGTTGTAAGAATGAAATCATCATTAAGAAGTCATCTAAATGCAAAATGTTTGAGTGAATTCCTCAGAACGACTGATAAAATAAAGCACAACAGCCAACCACAAAATACTCAAAACCCGAAGACAAATAATGTATGCTTCATGAGTAACAAGGAAAGAACTAACACACGGCTGCTGTGACCACCTGAGCAAATACCCGGGCCAAGCACATAGAACACCTCTGCCTCAAAGCAGGCAGCCAGACCTTCTCCATACCGCAGCACCGCAATTCAGGGACAGGACACGACCACGTGCCGCTTTACCTGGTGCCGCCATGTCTTATTACAGTGGCCATGTGCAGGCTTCTCTCTGCACAGGTCTAAGACATCACGATAGTTACCTGTCGTTAATGATCCAGTTCAGACAGAGGTTCAGAGAGCTAAGGTTTTTGCATCTCTTCACGATCTCCATCACAGTTTCGTTATCCAGTTCAGTGATATGACGCAGGTCCAAGCTGGAAAGGTTTCTCAGCTAAGGGCATAAATAAAATGAAAGATAAAAGCAAAGTGACAAGTTAATTCTCAAAAATTATACTGTCATTTATCATACAGTAACACCACTGTACAAGAATTAATGTACATGAGATAGGCTAGTACATGAGATAAATCAAATATCAAAGTATTTTACAGAGAGAACTCTACATAAGCATTGAAATGCATGACAAATACATGAATGGATAAAGCATAAACCAGGTTTTACTGAAGCACCATTAAAATGAAGAACTAGCAAGCTGCTGTGTAACAAGGAGAGACACTGCCAAACACACCCTACGAAGTCCCTAAGGCTCATACGTTCATACCGGGCTCCATTGCAGATGTGCACCTTTAAGCAGATGTGCACCTTTAAACCATCACTCATGTACAAGTTCTCTTGTGTTAATCTATCAAGTATACATAATCAATCTGGAGATGTCCTGATGCTACTCTATATGAGTATTCCCCAAACTGGGGCTTCCAGAGGCACGTGATTTTACTATACCACCACAACCCCCATGTCTTGATTTCTCCCATTCCTTCTTGATGATTCCTGGTGTTCCCTGACGCTACCTCCAAGGCAAATCAATAACATTTGCATAAGGGTAGCAGGATATCGGTTACCCTCTTGAAATAAGGTATATCTGCAAATAAGCAATTTTTGCTTAGCAATCAGACAAATAACTAACCTGGAGGTCTGTGTACATATATGCATGCCTAGATATTCCACCTTGTAAGGCAGATGTGACTAGAGGGAGTGGTCCTGGAATGGAGAGATCATGGCAGATTATTCAACAGGCAATTTAATGGGCAAACATCTTTTCGGTGGAGAATCTTCTCTAGCTAGTCAGGAGAGATACAATGGAAGCTACAACAGCATCTGAATCATGAGAGAGAGCCAACAGGCCTTGCCCTAATGGTGGAAATGGAGAGGACTAGGAGCCGAAGACTGTGAGGGGCTCGATGCTGGTGACAGCCAGGAAGAAGAAAGGATGAAAACCTACAGCCCTAAAGGGCTGAATTCTGTCACTACCTGAACGAGCAAAAAACACAGACTCTGTCTATGAGCTTTCAAAAAGACCCGTGACAGACAGACATCTCATTTAGACAACTGTGGGATAATAAATTTGTGCAGTTTAAGCAAAGTGTGTGAAAATGTCACACCAGCACTTAGAAACTAGGACACAGCATTTACAGCAAGCTAACAGAGCTCTCTGAGGACTAGTCTGTCTTCTCTGGACCACCACCAAACCCTTCTTCAGGGAAGGTTGTCCCTATAGGAAGCAGAATTGTAGGTCTGACCCAACTGCCAAAGGCCTCAGAGCAGACAAGTCTCACCTAAGTCAGTCTAGCTGAAGTCCCCCGAGAAGCAGACACTAAAATCCATGGTAATATATGGGCATGAGGAACCGCTGAGCAAATCAAATGTGACCAGAGAGCTAAGACGTAAGTCTTCATTTATATTTTAATTTAACATCTGTGTGCAGTTGGCAGCTACTGTTTGGCCACAGTTCTAGAGAATGAAAAGTCATAAAGGAGTTGGGAAGGAACCAGGCAGGCAGCTCCCAAATTCACTTTGTATCTTAGGTCATAAGGGAGAAGCTCCGCACAGAGCTGAGACACCATGGCTCCCTGCTCTCTGAAGCATATTGCCCACCTGTGGGGAGAACAGAGAAACACGGGTTCTGTGGGCACACCCCAGAGGCAGGAAGTTTCCATAGTGGCTCCTGCAAGGGCCATAAGGTCCCCTCTGTAGACAAAAGCTCTCAAGAACCCTCTTTGCAATCTGTCGGGTCAGATGCTCAATGAAGCCAAATCCAGCACAGCACCAGGCCCAGCAACACCAAAACTCCAGAGAGGAGGCAAGAGTAGGAAGGAAAGCAACCCTGGCAGCTCCTCACCCGGTGGGCAGAAGCTGAGGGACTCAGAGCCTGGAGCACTGGGCACCCTGCAAGATGACAGACTCACACCCGCTAAAAACAAACTCCTGCTGAGGAAACTATGGCGGTGCCCGCCTGCAGACCTTCAATCTCAGCGCTGGAGAGACAGAGGCAGGCAACCTCTGTGAGTTCCAGACCAGCCAGAGCGGCACACCGAGACCCTGTCAGAAAAACAAAACAACACAGCAAGAACAATACTGCTTTAGGCTGTCTAGACATGTCCAGGAGCTGATCGGTCAAATGTCATCTAGCTTCTCCAGTGACCCATTTTCTTCTAGGGACTCCTCACTGTAACAGTAGTAACCAAAACACCATGCAGAGTCCACAGGGGAGCTGGTTCACCTCCAAAGCCCTAACCCCTTGATCCTTGACCCTTACCTCCCTGCAGCTTACACCGCTAGGCAGTAAACAAAACAAACTGCATATTTTCAAACCTCTAAGGGAAGTAAAAAGGAAAAAAACCCATGTAAAATACAAATAACAATATAAATTCCTGAATCTACAAATTGAATTGAAATTTAGTGAAATTCCAAAGGGCTCTCACTCTTATTCCTGTTTGTGCCCCTCCCAAAGTCTGACATCACTCTATGTGGCAAACGGAAATTAAGGGAGCCTGCAGCGATAAACAAGACCCCTATGACAGACAAGTGGGCATCAGAAGGTGGGGATAAAACCCGAGGACAGTAATGCCAACGGGACAAAGATTCAAGTCACTGTGTTTTCTTTAATGGACTGACTAGCACTTTTCAAGACAAGAAGCATAGTAATGGTTTCTAAGAATCTATGGATGGCAAAGACGATCCGGCCCCCATCATCTCACGGCCAGACGTGCACTGCACAAGCCGGTGCGGGAAGCAGAACCTAACCCCAGTGCCTGGTAAAGGCCCTTACTCTCACACCTGCGCAGACGCTGCACCGGAGGGCATTCTCCTTACAGTACAAAGAGCTGTAATCATCAACCATGTGAGTCAAAGGGGAAAGCATCCTGGATAGGAACGACGACATCAGCAAAGCACTTCCTAAGTATCCTGATGGCAGAGACAGCCTTCTGTTGTCCTTAAAGGTGTCCCCTAGAAGCTAAGATCAGCTCCAGAATGTGGACAGCAGTAAAGTACAAACATCTGTCCTATGCTGCTAAAAGCTGATTCCTTCCAGTGAGTACATCCTATAAAGAAATGCAGACAGATGTGAATAGTGATTGAGATGGCAGCCATTGCTTTCAGGCTGCTGAATTAGTGGTTCTTTATCACATCCCAAAAGAACATTCCTGCATGTAGGCTACAGGGGAAACAATATTTGAAAAGAAGCCAGGGTTGGCTACATTAAATGAAGACACTCAATGCCAAAGAAATACGCATTTTTAAAATGGCTAAATTGGTAAATGCTTCACTTTTTTTTTTTTTTTTTTTTTTTTTGGTAAAATATGTTTTATCAAAGTAAGAGTCATTTTCAAAAGGAAAGGAAGAAAAGGTCTAGTTGTTTGTACCAGTACAATCCCTCATTTCAAGGAAGACACTTAAGGGTCGCAAAGGTTTATGCAACTGGTAAAGGTGGATAACAGGGAGAAAGATGTTAGCAAATCCAAACAATGTTACAGACTTGTAAAAATCAGACATCCTCAGGCTGGAGAAATGGCTAGGCCTTTAAAGGCATGGCTTACAACCAAAAATATAAAACTCAGACATCCTCTAGACTGACCCACAGCTGAAAATGTAATACCAGGGCTGAGCTATTGGCGACAAAACTCTTGTTTGATTACTTTTGAACTCTCCAGGTCCAGATGATGACACTGGGCCATCTGTGCCTGTCACTGCCTAATGTCTATGATCCTGATGCCACAAGTTAACAGGTATACCATGGCACACACACTGGGGCTGTGCAGGACAGAGTAGGAAAACACTTGACTCCTCAAGGCTCATTCGTTCCTTTATTGTGAGCTGGCAGTCTCAGAATGGCATGTGCGCACGTGGCCTTCCCGATGAGCACTTGACCAACACTAGCAGAAATATGACAGCATCCTGAGTCAGCTGCAGGAAGCCAACTCCCAGTAGATAATCACAAGACACAGACCCAACACCTCTACAGGATGTGGCATTATTATTCAAAACTCTGCAAACAGCCCTGTCAAATTCATCACATTCATTTTCTTGCTAGGGAATATTATAACAGTGCCCTCCAGTGTTTCATAAAAAGCTACCTGAAATAATCCCTCATAGTCTGAAACAGATAATTACATCTAGAAAACTGACATTTTAATTAAACTTGCTTTCCTTGTAATTCACTGGTAGTCTTGGGTTATACAAATCACAAAGGATTTGAGTAAGTAGAGTCTTTCTACCAGGAGCTTCTGAATGCCTCACTCCCATTTTCAGACATGTAGTAAGGTATTTAAAAGAAACCTAAGTCAGAATGAGGAATGTAAGTAATCACTTTTCAGTTTAATACTGCATTGTTGGAGAAAAAATTAACTTGTAGCCATTCACATAAAAGAACAAAATTAGTCAATGATTGTTATGGCCAAGTCTGTACTAAAACAGAAAATGAGATCGTCATTACCTAGGAAATATGGAATATGAGGACTAAAAAGATGTCTACAGTGACTTCAAATTTCTCTTAAGACCAAGAAAAGATGAAGGAAAGGGAAAGAAGGAAAAGGGGGAGGGGTGAAAGTTGTGGAGGACCAGACAGGACCAAAGCATACCCAGAGTAAAGATGGCGAGGGAGGAGGGGGCCGGGGGAGCAGCCACATTACACAAGTTGACTACAATGAATGCAACTAGTAGACTCTGCCTGCTGTTGCAAAAGCCAAATGAAACTAGGCTGTGGCGGCGCACGGCTTTAATCCCAGCACCTGGGAGGGAGAGGCAGATGGATACCAGTGAGTTCGAAGCCAGCCTGATCTACCAAGCAAGTTCTAGGACAGTCAAGGCTGTGACAAAGAGAAAACCTATCTTGAAAATCAAAAACAAAGAACAGCAAAAGCCAAATGATCCCCATGAACTCACATCTTTGAACACTTGGCCCTCAGCTGATGGAACTGTTTGGGAAGGACTAGAAG